GAACTTAGACTTTATGTCTAAGTTCAATTCTGACTTGGTATAAATCTGGGAAGCCTTCCTCCCTGAGGGGAGTGCTGCCCAAATTTTTGCTAAGCGAGAGAGTTAGACAGATCTTGGCTTCTGGAATCCACAAGTTTGACTTTAAGGCTAGTATATTTCCTGCGATGTCACTTCTCCTACGGGAAGCGCTGCCGAAATTTTCCTAAGTTAGAGGAGTTAGCCTATATTTAGACAGGTGGCGACAAATGTAGGGGACGCTATGGCGAAATCCACCTTACGCTGAGTGCTAGCTAGGGGTAGATTTAGGCTTAGTCAGATATGATGACTAAGTCAGATCAGGATATGGAAATTACCCCCCCGGGACATATAGACTTAGTTTGAGGTTGGCCTGTCTTGTGTTACAGGTCGTTTTGATCGGTCGCGTCAGGACGTGGACTAGACTCAGTTGATCCTACAAGGATAACTTGCTGTTATCATAGATAACAGGTCGGTTGCCGACTCGTCGGTTACGACTCAACCTCAACCCACTCTCCTTACTCAACCTAAAGAGGCTTCAGCCCTGGTGATCTTTTCTGTTTTGTTAAGGTTTCACCCAGACTTTTATTGAATGGTCATTTAACAAAGGTACTGAGTATTTACTTAAGGTTGGTTAGCTGGAGGTTGGGGCTTGCATGGCCGAGGCAAAGGGTATGAGTATAGAGATTGGTTGGAGTTGACTCCGTGTAGCGTATGGACTTGTGCTTGACTCTTTGATGTGATTGCAGGAATGTTCCAGGGCTTGGATTATTGGATTGGACTGCCCTGCGATGTTATATATGTGTATGGCTATGAGGAGGCCCACTATGATTGTGAAATATGATCGTCACACGTTCATTCCCATATGTGTGCATATGTGTGTATATGTGTATGTATGCGTACCTATTGGGTACTTGTGTGGCCTAAAAGAGGTCGCGTGCTAAGGAGTTAATCAGCGGTTGGGCTAGTAGAGAAAGGATGACCCCGTTACTTATATAAGTGTTTCTTGGAGATTGCTAGTCGGACGTTGGTCCTGGGCCGGGATTCAAGGCCCTTGTCCAGGACATCCCAAGCCCTAGGCGCTGTACTGAAGGGGACCCCCCTCGGGCAGAGCCTATTTGCCTTGACCGCCAGAGCACTCGGGCCGAAAGCCGGACGTGCCGCGGCGGCCGCACGGCTAGTCCTTCAACTGTGCAATGTCGTGAAGGGCGGAACCTTCACGATACTTCGAGTCTGACACGTGAGTGTCATAAGCGGTACTCGGATCCACGAGGGACCGCTCGATTATGGGTACTGCATAGTACGCCATCTTCGTGACTGCTTGTGTGTGTTGGCATTGCTAGCCGATATGAGAAGGCCTACGCCCGCGTGGCTTTACATTAAGTATCGCGCACGACGCTCAGCCGGTTCCCGCACCAAGAAGTTATGGGATGGACACTAAGGGACTAGGAGGGTGTCGCGTTGTATGTCCTTTGCGTCGTTCAGTGCTCGTGTGCGTGTGTGCGTGTGTGCGTGTGCTTTACCTTTATGTACGTTATAGTGGTGTGTGCGTGGCGTGTGGGATACGTCCTAGTCGACCGGCGACGAGCCTCGCTTGGGACCTCAGCCTCCCAAGATGTCGGTTCGCGTGCGGGTCCGATAGAGGCGTAGTACCGTGCGTACACCTTATGCTACAGCGAACGAGGAATGCCCTCGGCTGGTCCACCTCTGCGATTGCAGCTGATGAACTTTCGTACTGTGGACTGGTAGCTCGGCGAGGATACGCCCACCGAAGGGAGGTGACAGCTCCCGTAAGCTGGAGGTAGTCATGCCTCGCGTAGGCCCTGTCTTGTCGTAGGGGCTCGCGAGAGGTATGGTTGGCGCACCCGGCCGGAGCGGCTTGTGGAAGCTCCGTGTGTGTACCACAACGGGATTTGTACTCTTACTCCTGCGTGACGTGGCCGGGAGGGTCCCGCGCTACCTCTGAGTGGTGCCGGACCGATGCGCTCAACAGGTGGCGCCGTTGCCGGGGATGACGGTTGCATGCCGTTGTCCCTTGTGGAACGACATCCGGGTATTAGGATAAGGAAGAAATCAGGCATGAGTAGGAGATTTGAAGTGAATTTGTAGGTAAGACTACATGAGGGTGGTAGGATTATAGTAATTATGCAGGGAAGCCCTTAGTGAAAGTAGACCTTGTGAATGTAGGTCTGGGAACGAAAGAGACGTGGGTGTCAGTTAAAGTATGAAACGCCCAAGGGCTAAGTGGTTAGCTCGATAGGCTTATGCTGGAGTGAGAGTGATGAATAAAGTTGCCTGTGTACCTCGTCTTACTACAGGGAAGTTAAGTGAAGGACAGGCTGCTAAAATGACAGGCGGCATAGGCGACAGTTCAAGCAAGGTCCTGACCCTCGATGATCTCATCGAGGCGATGGACAAGCGGGAGAGAACGCTGAGGAGTGTCCCCAAAGTCGACACCTTCCACTTCAATGGGGAACGGGTCTCTGAATGGCTGGACCTAGTGGAGCAAGCCTTGGTGGGAGTACCAGACGAGACGAAATTCAAACACATCCTACAATATGTGCTCCATAAGCACCATCCGGAAGTACAGAAGGTGGTCGACGACGCCAACGGCGACTGGGCTAAATTTAAGGAAGGAATGCAGCGGAAGTATAGATTGGGGGATGGCCTGCTGACTATGGCGGACTTCGAGGCAATGAATAGGGACGACTTCACCACCATTGGGGCATTCCTGCAAGAATTCAAAAAGAAGGCGAGAAAGGTACATGGGATATCAGAGGAGACGCAGTGTGCCGTCTTCCTGGGACTGCTCATCGCATCTGAGAAGTTGAGCTAACAAGCCATGGAGGAGGAAATGCCAAACTTACCTGGGCCACCATTGACAGAGGGGTGGAGGTTGGAGGCCTCGACCAGGTCGAGCAGCACTAGGTGAGGCTGCAGAGGCAGAAACGGAAGGACAGGGATGCGGCTGGGTCGCCAGGAGTAAAGAAGATCATAACCGACACACTAGCAGGGCTAGACCCGGTGATACAGTGGAAGGTGACGGCGGCGGTCCAGGAAAAAGGCAAGGGGGGCGTGGTAGAGGAGGCTATATGGAAAGAGGACGAGAAAAATGGACTGATTTATTCTAATATGGATGGGGACATTTACGACCAATTTGGAGATTTTATTGATAGGAAGGCTGGTGGGGTTAGGGCGGAGGCCCAACGAAGGTTGGCAGCACGACAACCACCCCCTGCCACGTTCAGGCTATGGCAGGAGAAGGAAGAGCTGCCAATTGGAGTTGAGGAAGTAGGAAGTGACGAGGAAGTAACCCCTAGGGTACAGGCCGGGGATGTAAGAGAGAGGCCCATAATCATCGAGTCGGACGATGAGGGTGGCGATGAGGAGGTAGAGCTGACGGTAGTCCTGCTGAATAAGATGGAGGAATTATTGGACAAGGTAGGGAGATACCAACGGAAGTTGGTAGATCTCTGCGAGGGAGTGAAGGAGTGGAGGGCTAACCTCCCCAAGGTCTTCCTTTATGACTCTGGTCCGGAATCCATGCCGGGGCGGCCCGGAGTGACTACTGTGGGGACGGGCCCGCGATCAAGGATGATGACTAGGCCCCCTACCCCGCAAGCTAGGCTGGCTCAGGCAACCCGCACTCGATGTCAAGCTAAGGCAGATACGAGTTATGAACCTCCTCAGAAGGAACCAGAACCAGAAAAGAGAAAGCAAACTGTAGAGGTAGAGGATGATGATGATGATGAAGGGGAAGATGATCGGTTACGTCAGGAAGAAGATCAAAGGGCCGAACAGCGAACCAAGAAAAGAGAAAGCCGGGGAGAGGCCGAACCGGTTATGCGAGACGTACCACCAAAGAGGAAGAAGTATGCGGTCCGACTAGAGGAAGGATTTGATGTAGAGCGAGTGATTGACAGGCTGCTTGAGGGCCATAATGATTTAATGACCCTCAAGGAGATCCTGGCTTCCGCGCCAAGGCCCCGCAATGAATTGAAGGGAAGGTTGTCAAGGCGGCTGGTGCCGAACGTTCACCTCAGTGTGATCCGACCCAAGGAGATGGAGTGGGTTGAGCCAGGAACAAAAATGGATTGGAAGTGTGTGGCTTATGGCGTGGTGGACCTAGCGGTAAAAGGCTCTAAGTGCATGGCCATGGTAGACACGGGGGCCGAAATGAACATTATCCGGGAGACCGATGCCGTCAGTTTTGGACTGGAAATAGACCGCTCAGACTGCGGCATCCTGCACGGGGCCAACAACAAGGCTGTGTTTTGTGGAACAGCCTCGAATGTGCTACTGGAGATTGGCAGGGTGAAGACGCGGGCCTGTTTCTTTGTGATGCCTGATGTAGACCACAGTATCCTCCTGGGGAGGTCCTTCCTATGCAGGATAGAGACCTTGATGTATAATAAGCATGATGGATCATTGCTCTTGATTTTATGTGATCGAGCATGCGGGAATTACGAAGTGATTACCTGCCGGAACACTGGGCCAAGGAGCCTCAGGAACAGGCCCAACCCTGGCTCATTCACGATCGAGGAGTCAGAAGACGCGCATCGGAGGCTTATGGCAGAGCCCGAGGAGGAAGTAGAAGGTGAAGCCTTCTCGCTCAGCCTGTCGGATGTGGGAAAGGCCATGGATATAGTGGCCACGCACGAGATGGCCGATCCGGATGCCATTCAGGCGTTGAGGGAGCAGGTTCTGGAGTATCCCCATGTGGGGGATATGGAGCTGGTCTATCGGCTTCCTAAGGGGAGAATGAATCCGGCGATGGCACAGGCACAGGCACGAACGGCAAGTCAGCCTTTTTTAGGGGCCGGCTCAAGCAGGGTGTCCAAAGGCGGTACAAAACGATAGACAAAAAGTGTCGCCCAGTTCCCGTTCTGGTTACCGAGGACGAGGAGGTGTACTACGAACGGGAGCGAGCGTTGATACGGCGGATGAGGGAAAACGCGTTAGAAGGGCCATGCCGTATCAATGAGACGAATGAAGGAAAGTTGATAGTGGGAGAACCGGACTTCCTATTACAGCGGGAAAGAGCCCTGATGGTGGACCTGATGAAAAAAAGACATCGCGCCTATGCTTTCAGTGACGAGGAGCGTGGCAGGTTGAATGTGGATAAGATTCCAATGATTCACATCCATATCGTGCCACACGAGCCGTGGAACCTAAGGGGGGCGCGATACCCAGATTCGGACGAAGAGAAGGAGGTAGTGGACTACCTCGATGGCAAAATACGTACGCACGTCGCCGACTACTCAAGCGGACCATACGCATCCCCGTGGTTTTGCTTTATTAAGCCCAATGAGACGCTAAGGTGGGTACAAGACTTGCAGAGACTGAATGCGGTGACAGTGCGGGACGCAGGTGGGCTACCAAATGCTGATGCGCTGTCGCAGTCATGCGCTGGGAGGTCGATAATTTCACTTATTGACCTCTGTTCCGGATACAACCAATTTCCGGTCTACCCGCCGGACCGACCTGTGACGGCTATGCACACGCCTCGAGGGCTTATCCACATGAATGTGGCTCCACAAGGGTGGACGAATGCGGTGGCAATGGTCCAGAGGAATATGATCCGGGTCATGCAGACAATTAGTCCACACATCACACAGCCATACATCGATGACCTGGCAGTGAAAGGGCCGCGAAAAAGGGAAGACAATGAGGCCCTACATGGAGTAAGGCGGTTTGTTTGGAGGCACGTTCAGGACCTTAATAAAGTCATAGGCTTGCTTGAGGAGTACAACCTTACGGCCAGTGGGCCTAAGTCTAAGCACTGTATGAGGGAAGCAACTATCTTGGGGTTCGTCTGTAATGAGAATGGTCGGCGACCGGATGTTAAGAAGACGGATAAGATTGTTGAGTGGCCGGTGCCATTCCGTTCTGTAACAGATGTAAGGAGCTTCCTAGGTACGTGTGGGTTCTGGAGGTCATTCGTCAAGAACTTTGCGGCAAAGACAGAGCAATTAAGGAAGCTGGTCCGACAGGATCAGGAGTGGACCTGGGGTGAAGATCAGGAAGAGGCGGTGGCCAACATGAAGGAGGAGTTTCGGGAAGGAGGGTTGGTACTGCGAGCGCCTGATTATGACGCTACGGAGACGAGACCATTCATTGTGGAGACCGATGCAGGACCGACGGCCTTGGGTGGAGTTCTAATCCAAACAGACGTCAAGGGGAAGGAGAGGTCGTTGCGCTTTGAGAGTCGCACGCTATGTACGTCGGAGAGAAACTACTCCCAATTCAAGAGGGAAACTCTCGCCGTCCTTCGTTGTTTGCGGATTTTTCAAAACTACATCTTCGACAGGAGGTTCATCTTGAGGGTAGACCCAACGGCTCTGGCTTTCTCCCTCAGGAATTATGTTCCGTCCGATCCAACAGTTGCCAGGTGGTTGACATACATCTGGATGTTCAACTTCGAGTTGGAACGGATCTCAGGGAACAAGAACAGGGCAGATGGGCTAAGTCGCATCAACTGGGATAGGCAGGACGGGGAAGCTGTAGAGGATACGCCCCCTGTTGATGGCTTTCTGAACCAGGACRAGGACATCCGCCTCCACATCAATAAGTGGTCCCCACGAGTCCCCAGCTGCGTTGGCCATCCTATCTAGCACGCGSCTAAGGGGTATGAGCGGAAAGCTGAGTTGGTGCTCAAGCCTTTCGAAGAGGAGGATCCCTGGGGTGGTAAGGACGTCCAATGGATGACCAAGTTGGCACTCGCAGGTAGCCCTTGTATGGTGGATGAGGTATTGACGATAGAGGAGGGCCAGGATAAGGTAAAACATCACACGGAATTAATGAGAGGGATGTACCTCCTCGTCAATGCGCTTCTGCAGGAATCCCTTGATCTGGAAAACTCACTAAATCCGACCGAAGGGAGAGATACTGTGTTGGAAAGCCAGGATGACGAGTTCGAAGAGGGAGAGATCAAGGAGGCATTCCGCGCAGAGGAGTACGATGGGATTTACCTAGAGTTGGGACTTCTCTTATCCTGCGAGATGCGTGATAGAGACGCAAGCCATAGGGCGCAAATGATGAGGGATCGCTACCTAGTAAGGGACGGTCATCTCTTTGTAAGAAGGGAGGTAGGAAACCCCAAACGGGTGGTATGTGGTCGCAACCGTCAGATTGACGTCATAGCGGCGCTTCACGATGGCATTGCAGGCAAACACCGGGGAATTACTGCCACATATGCCAAGATAAGTGAGCTATACTACTGGGACGGAATGATGGAGATGGTTGGCAAGTTCTGCAGTTCCTGTGTGTCGTGCCAGAAGCAGTCTCGTCTAAGGCCAGGAGAGCCGCTGCATCCAAGGCTGCAGAGAGAGGTCGGGGCCGTAGTACACCTCGACTTATTGTTCATGCCCCTTGGAGATCATGACTACAACTATATCTTCGATGCGCGCGACAACCTATCTGGCTTCGTAGATGGACGGGCAATCCGTACGAAGACTGGGGCAGTTCTGATCAGCTGTCGTTACCCGTTCGTTAGGGAATTCGTAATAGACAGGGCGTCGGAGTTCACCTGTCAGGAGGTGCAAGAGTTGTTGTCAAGATATGGGGTAGTGGCTAACTACACCACGACCGCCCACCCTCAGGCAAATGCCCCAGTTGAAAGGGGGCATAGCACCATTACGGCCTTGCTAGCTAAATGGACCGAAGGTAAGCCCAGCCAGTGGCCAAGGTATCTGAGGGCCGCCTTCTTCGTTGAGAACATCACAGTAAAAAGGACCACTAAGTACGCGCCGACCACACTATGGTATGGAAGACATGCTACCTTTCCAATCGAGAGCTTCCTAAAGACTTGGAGGCCTCGGCACTTGGAGGTAAACCTGTCTTTCGAAGAACTGCTCGATATTCGAGCTCGGCAGGTGGGCGCGATTGAGGGAAGGGTCCAAGAGGCATCCGACCAGGTAGAGAGGAGTCGTATGGACGATAAGGCTCGCTCGGATCAGTCGGCTTGTGTAAGAAAGGTAACCTTGGTAGTTGGGGACGTCGTGCTCTTGTATGATTCGTCCCTGGAAAAACAATGGTCCAGGAAGCTGAACAAGAGGTGGTTAGATCCCTATCGGATCGTGCGATGCGGAGAGTTTGGTGCATACAAGATCGAGGAGCTGAATGGAGCAGAGTGGAAAGACTGGGTGTCAGGGACGAGGTTGAAGAAGTTTGTGGCCAGAGAAGAGGTAAGATAGGCAACCTAGTCCACTAGAATGGAATAGATGGGTTTGTAGATTAGGAGGATTGCTTGAGGCATGTGCTTGGTTTGGCCTGAGTATGTCTCTTCGTTCCCTGTTTGCTTACCCCGGCGCGTGCCTGTTGTCTCCTTCGCCTGTTGTGCAGGACTGACTTGCAGCCATGCCAAGAGGAGGGAGGGGAACACGGCCACCATGACGGCCGGCGGGAGCTTCAGGAGGACATGGACGGCATGGGCCTTACCGTCGAGCAAGCACCCCAGTATATAACGATGGGGATACCGAGTTATTCATGGACGAGTTCTGGGGCCACGCTGACCATATGGGGTGGACCGTGACTCAGACGATCGAGAGGTTGAGGGGAGTTGGCAGGTTTATAGAGCCCATCGCACAGATCCGCAGGGAGGCTCGAACGAGGTCGAAAGTGGAGGCGCGGATGGAGGAACTGCGACCGTCGCCTGTGGGGCCTGATGGCAGACCTATTCGGCTAGAGATTGGGAATGCAGAGGAGTTCATCCCAGCATTCGAGCAATTCATGCAGAACCAGGGAATACTGCGAAGCGAGTGGATGACGACATTACCCCTGTGGACCCGAAAGGCGGAAAGACCTTTGGCCAAATAGATCAGGGACGTGGCCCGAGATTGGGATGGTTGTAGAGCGCACTTGAGGGCGGCATTCCGGCAGCCAGAACCACCTCAGCCTAGAGTCGAAAGGCGCCTCAGGAGCGGCAGGCAGAGGGAACCTGAGCCCGCTGAGGACCGAACCTCGCGGAGAGGACGGAAGGCGCTTGCTAGGCGGGAAGAGGAGGGCGTGCCTGAGGCAGAACGACAGGAGGAGCACCCCGAGGGTGGACTGGGGCCAGTAGAGTTTCACCGCTATACTGGAGGAGGACTGGGGGAACCGCCTCAACATATACAGGATGAGATACCGGTCGTTGAAGGGTCATTGCAAGAGTTACACACACACCTGGACGCTGCCCAGTGGAGAGAGCCCCCGATGAGTGAGGGGCGCATTGAGGCCATCGCGGAAGTACCTCAGGAGAACGTTCCAGACCCTGAACAAGAGGAGGGGCCAAGTGCTACGAAAGCCCGGATTGGGGATGAGATCATAGAAGTTGAGGAAGACACTCCCCCTCAGGGACCAGCCGTGGGGCTGAGGCTCGGTAGTCCACTCGAGAGCCCGCCAGATACGAGGAAGAAAGTATAAAGGGAGGAAGTCTCGATCTTGGTGCCGGAGACAGCCCTATCGCCGGCAGGAATGGAGGCAAGTGAGGCGGAGGGGGCCAGTCTGAGAAGGGAGGCAGACAGTCTGATTGATAGCCATCTGGCCGCCCATGCTCTTGAGCAGCCTAGCCTGGAAGAGGTCGTACCTGTGGAGTCACCCCGGGAATCAGGTCAGACCGAGAGAGAGGTGGAAACGGGGGTCCCAGGGGAAGTTGAACAACGCACGGTAGAGGAAGTACCAGCGAAAGAAACGGCTGAGGAGAAGCGGGCTAGAGTGGTAAGGCGCTGGGAGGAAATCCGGCAGGAGGGGCAAAGATTGGAAGCAGCAGGGGTACTCCCAAGTCCGCCACCGCCCTGCAAACCGTATGGGCTCCGGGAGATGTGGGGAGAGTTTCTTGCCCGCCATGGCGAAGGGCTGACAGCCCCAGGCAAGGCAGAGGCCGAAACCTCACGGAAAGCTGATGAGTATTTGGATCAGAGGATTCGCTCCGTATCCAAGGCCTCCTTCGACAGGTATATGATGTTGGAGGCGGATCTGAGAAGGAAGGAATTGAAGGAAGCAGGGCTGGAGTCACGGTTAGGGACCATTGAGGCAGAAGTCCGTGAGCTCAGGGCTCTGGTGGCTAGCCAGGCCGCCACCATCCTGTAATTGAGGCAGCAATTCCATGGCAGCAGGGATGGGGCGGAGAGTAGCAGGCCAGGAGGGCAGAGTCAGCCAAGACATGGCGTATCAGAGCAACCAGCTGTGGCTGAGCCTCAGCAAGAGGCACCTATGGGAAGAGTCATTTTGGAGCCTGAGGAGGCAGAGGCCAAGAGGAAGGCTGAGAGGGAAGCCTTCGAATTCAGAGCCCCTACGGAACTTGCGGTGCTACCCACGATAGCTGCAGACCCTGCCATGCCACCGTTACTTGAGGAGAGACTGCCCTCGGCCAGTGATGAGCCTTCCCAAGGCTCGACAGGAGGATCCTTGGATGTGCTACTAGAAGCAGTCCACTCTATGCAGGAGGATGCTGGCTTGTTTTCACCAGAGTCCAAGTTGGAAGAGTCCCTGGAGAGCGAGATGGGAGGTGCAATGGAGGGCATCATCGCAGGCAGGCCCCAGAGGTTGGATACTCCTAACTATGAGCCAGAGGGAGCAAGGGCGCAACCAGGGCCCAGTCCGCGAGAGTCGGAAGCAGGATCTGAGAAACCCAGAGATGTGCCTCAGTGCCATGAGTTGGATGGAGGGGCCAAGGAAACCCCATTGCCAGCAAGGTCCCAGCGGAAGAAGAAAAGACCTAGGACGTCTTTTGACTCGACCTGCTTCTATTGTACGGAGGAAGAGCACAGGGCATTGCAGTGCCTCAAATTCCTAAAGGACCAGGCAAACGGGAAGGTCTCGGAGTATGATGGGAAGATGTATGATAGGCAGGGTTGGGTGGTGGAACGAGCTGTAGATGGGGGTAGAGCTCAGTTGTACAGGCAGAACCAGGAGGAGATGAGTGACTAGGGTCTGGTTCACCTGAATAAAACAGGGTATTTCTTTAATGATTTTGCTATTACTTAGGCAGGATGGACACCTACGACGTTGAGTGTGCAGATGGGACCTACGGCATGGGATGTCCGCTGTAACTAGGATCATGGAAAATAGGGAATGTACACTAAGTGGCAATAGACTACTGAATTGTTTTGGGGGGTCCCCTGTACAGATAACCATGTACTATATTCAGAGTGATAAGAGTTGACTTGTGTGGGTCCTGAGACAAGATTATCCAGTGTATTTTAGGATGAGATACCTCATCCCGGAGGGTATATTTGAGTTGAGTGAGGGTTGAGACAATCTTATGTACATGACGATCACACTCACTCTCACATGTGCGGTTTTATCCTGATGTATGGTGAATGTTGAATGTATGAACGACATCTTGAATGTTGTGCACCGTGCGAATGGAATGTATGTGAGCTGCCTACTCTCCGGTATACTTGTGCGATCTACCCGCAGGCAGGTAACGGGGCCAGGTATAAGGAGAGGGAGTGCAATCTGTCCTTGTGAAAGTATAAGGATCCCTTGGATTTGTAAGTCCTTGATACTCAGATGCATGCCATGCCGAAGGTATGTTGTTGAGTCGTGATAAGGACCCATAAGTTGGTCTCTCAAGTTGAGTTGGGCTATGGTAGGGGTGCCTGGGTTTTTGAGGAGGCAACCCGCTGCATGTTGGGAGACCTATGGAGTGAGACCTCCCTCGTATGAAGGGTGGTTACCAGATCGGTGGCATGGTAAGCAAGGTTGGTATGATAAAGCCTGACGAGAAGGACCATGTTTGTTGCTTGGCCACTGTTGAAAGTTTGGAGAGGTCGCAAATAGTTTCTTTTGGGAGACGTCACTGGGATGCGTGGCTTCCTGCTCTGATCAAGTAAGGAAGTCACGGCCTTGTGCGACTGGCGGTGATTCTGTTTGTAAATGTGGAGAGGTTGCCACGATACCCTGTGTTGTCCCACAGAGGGCTGATAAATACCTTTTATGTGTGACGGGCCTCTGCATAGTCCCGTGGCGGGCCTGTATTGTTGCGACCCACCGTCCAGCCACATGTGCTAATCCTCGAACATGCATGAGAATACCAAGCTAATGGTAGAGTTTAGCATCACTAGGGCGCAACCCCTAGTGTCGGCTGCTGATCGGCACAACCTGACCAGCGGGCCTACGTCGGGCCTAGGGAGTAAAGACTTAAAGGGGTGTGGCCACCTAGGAGGGTTTTACTCCTGCGGACCGGCGTGGGATAAGGGTCGAGTTGAGTCTTTTTTGAGTCCTGATTGAATGCTTATCAGGAAAAAGCCTATCGCGGCTCAACCTGCGACGGCATCACCGCTGGACTAACAAGCGCGGTGGGCCGTAGACCTGGCACGATCGCCCAGACAACGGTGGGCCAAGGAGACCTAGCCTACCTGTACTAGACTGCAGGAGGTGAGTTAAGGTGATTTATATATATATATATATGTATATATATATATATATATATATATATATATATATATATATATTTGATTGTGAAAATTGTGAGAGGAAGGCGAAAACACCTTCTTAGGTCTCGGTTAGGGTCCGCGCCCTTGGTCGAAGTCCTGTTCGCAGGATAGGGGCCAAGGGCACCTAACGAGAAGTCGGCGGTTGTCTAGGACAAAGGGGAGAGGACGGGTAAGAGGGGCCACTGAGACTTATGCTGTAGTACGTATGTCTAGTACACCGGCGTCCTAGTGTCAGGACAATGGAGACCCAGGTTAGAACCCTGGCGGCATATAGTTACAAGGACTTGGATTGTTGGAGGCCTCAACCGTGAGCATGTCGGCTAATCGGATTGGTTCCTTTCTCGTCAGCACTTGGGGTTGTGGGTGAATTTGTAGCTTTTGATCTGGCGAAGCGACGGGGACGTCGCTTAATATGGTCTGATAAGTTGTCGACGCGAATACCCTTACAAGGGTATCCGCCCTGCTTTTTGCAACTGACAGAAGATAAGGTTTGTTCAGAATTTGAGTATTCTGTGCGAGGTTGCGATTGTGTTAAGTTCGCGCTAACTCAATAGTTGACAGGAAGTAGAAAGTGTGGGTGGGCGCGCAGTTTTGAGGCGCGCGTGATGATTTTGTCTCTTGATGCTATAGAGTCGGCGTGTCCGCCGACAACATTTTTGGTTTTGATTAAAGCTAGGAAAAGTTTCCTTTATTAAATGGACCAGGGTGCATTTGCGTTCATACGGCATGCGCCGCCGATAGCGGATTTGTTGGGTGGTGGCACGCTTGGGTTGCATGTGCGACGGTAGCACAAGGGAAACATGTACCCCTTCATACAGCAAGGGCCGGTGCGTGGGAACCATAGACGCAAGCGGTGGTCTCCGCGCAGCATTATGGGGGCTACAAGCGTGACAGGCCGAGCAAGGTCCGGTCCTTGACTGCGTGTGCGCAAGCCCGGGCCGAGCAAGGTCTGGTCCTTGACCGCGCAGCATTACGGGGCCCTGTGATTGGGAGGGAAAGTCTCGCAGCAGCCTTAACGCTGCTGCCGCAGGCCCGGGCCGGCTGGCCATACCACTCATATGCAGGGCAGCGTGCAGCCTGTCCAGGCTTGGGCTTAGCCCTATAGGTTACATCATTAAACTCTCACCGGGCGGATCCCGGGATCGAGACCAGCAGCGAGCGTCGGAGCAGTGGAGCATGCCGAGGGGTTGAGGGTCCCGCGGGACTATCCCCCTTGGTTTTTGTGGGGGGTTCCGACCGTGGGCCCGCGAGGTGAGGCCGAGGCCCAGGTACCAATGGGCCTCTCCCGCATCCGGTTGCCCCGTTTTATTTCTGAGTTTGACTTTTATATATATATATATTTTTTTATTTTTACTTTTTTTGTTGTTGCTGTGTCTATCTGGGGATGAGGTCATGTGCCAGCGCTGGGACCTGCAGAAAAGCCCATCGGCATCGTTCAGTGGATACACCCACGAACTGTTGGGCCACTGCTGGGCTACTGCTGGGCTATCACTACCTGGGTACAGTCCTTCGGGACATCCGTTGGCATTGGAACGGTACAGAGAAGATTGGCATGGCTCCTGCCCACGACCAACTTGCATAAATGAGAGGGGTTGGATTCTCTCTTCGTTTGCCATAGTGAGTAGTGTCCAGCGCAGCCTAGCAGGGGAGGAAGTAGTATAGGAAGAGAGGGAGGGAGAGAGAGAGAAAGCGCAGGAGGGCGCTGCACAGAGAGTAGAAGCGACAGTAATAGATGGACGAACCTGGACGCAGTTTCGTGCCAGGTGCATTCGAAGGAGGGGGAAGAAAACGGACTCCGAGGCTAGAAGCCATGGAGAGTTGAAAGGCTACAACGTGCTTACTTCCTAATGAAAGCCGGCGGGAGGAGGTGTTAACCTGAGGATCTGAGGCGAGGCGAACCAGCTAGGGCTGTCAGATTGAGGAGGAGACTAGTGGTAGGGGAATTGTTCCAAATTCTCTAAAATAGAAGAATGTTTACCAAAAAAACTGTAGGAGGGAGCTAAGAGAGAAACGGACTATGGCGGGAGAAGACACCCTGACCTCGCTCGATTCTTGATAGATTCGAGCGAAATAAGATTCTAAGTAGGGGGTTTGGGACAAGGCGAGGTTAGAGGTAAGGCCAGTTTTAGCTCTAGGTTAGTAAGGTAGAAGTTAGTTGAGAAAAGCGATGCGTAGAGATGGCGGGGAGTGAGGAAGGAAAGGAAGTAAAATGGTTGCTTCCGACCGTTTCTTAACGAAAACAAGCAAGAGAGGAGGCATTTCTGAGGTTTTGAAGGGCTGCGAATCCAATAGCGCGGTTGGAATTCGCAGAAGGTCGGTGAATTTTGTGCCATAGGGAGATTAGGCTGCGCCTTGGAAAACAAGTTAGAAGTAGTTCAGCAAGGATGCATCTAGCCAACTGTTCAACGGTAGGTTCATTCAAGTCTACGTAGCTAGTCATTGTGAATAGCGCAAGGCAGCCGCGGGATTGGAAGCCTTACGTGTTGGCTAGGGCGTTGCGCATCCTATGACCTGCATGTGATTGTAGAGCAGCGGAAGTTCGTGACGAAATTATCTCGTCGTATCGTCAACGAGGGCGTATCCATCCGAGCTGTGGCGAAAGATCAATCTGAGTTGGCCATCCTTTTGATAAGAGTGGCACGAGGCGAGCTGCGAGGTACGAGACTTACCTACTCGCCATGGGGATCTTCATTGAAGAGGGGGGGGGCTGTGAAAGGAGGATGGGGAGTGAATCTGTCCGCATGTTAGGGAAAGATTCATTCTGTCTTTGCCGTTTCAGACGTTCGGAGTAGCTCGAGATGAACTACGAGCCTGGAGGCTTATGGCGGTGTGCTGCTCAGCTGGGTGATGAAAGTAGCTTCTGCACGTTTTTGTGCATGTGTGTAAAAGCATGATGAATCTACCCGTAGTCATACAGGAACCTCAGTCCAGTCGTGATTGCCGCTAGCGCACTACATATGTGGTCACCGACTGGGCAGGAGAGACCAGTCTTGATTATACGGGCGGTAATCCACTGAGGATGGGGGCGGGCTCAACGGCTTCGACTTGGATAAGCTCAGGCCTGCCATACTGAGAAGGGAAGGGCATAGTAGCGGGGTACTCACCTATTGAGGGCCACGACAACTTCCTTCCTGCCCTGGTCGTCACTGTGGCGCTGTGCATTTAAAAAAAAAAAAAAAAAAAAAAAAAAAAAAAAAAAAAAAAAAAAAAAAAAAAAAAAAAAAAAAAAAAA